GATGGAAGATTACTCAACACAGAAATAAAATGAACTACGACCAAACATCATAATATGGATGAACCTCACAGATATAAAGAGAAAAAGAACACAAATAAAAAAGCCTACACACTGAATTTTTCTATTTACATGAAATTCCAAACCACTAGGTAATTAGACAGCAATGTTCTATTTCTTACCCTAGAGATGGTTACTTGAGTGTTGGATTCGTAAAAATTCATTCACTGATTCATACATTTGTGTTACTTACCTTGATGTATTTACACAAGTTTTTTTAAATCATAAATCAAAGCAATAATATCCTTCTCCCTTTGACTTCAGCATTTCCTCTCCTTCTAGAAGCTAAAGTCATTGACTGACTTGTTTATAACTGTCATCTATTTTTTTAATCTCTCATTCACCCCAGATCCATTTCAGAATGGTTTCTGCCCCAACACTCCTCCCAAGTGACTTTTGCTATGGTCACCAATAACATCCAAGTTGTTGAATCTAATACACGTTTTCCAAGCACATCTTATTAAGACTATTCAATAGCTATAACCAATGCTTTCTCCTTAAAATATTTCCCCTTGATTTTCCAGACAAAACCGTCTCCTAGTTTTCCTCCTCGCTCTCTAGTTTCTCCCTGACCATTTCCTCTGCTGGCTCATCCTTTTCTAGCTACTCTTTAAATATTAGAGTTGCTTAAAGCTAATTCCTAAACTCCCTTTTCTTCTCACAGCATACCCTCCCCAAGTGATCTCATTCCAACCACCGCTTCAGTTAGTATCTGCTAGTGACTTCCCCTTACATGGGTTTTTGGATGTCTCAACAGATCAGATTTCACCAAAGATCAAGATCATCTCCCCAGGCCTGAACTTCCAGGGCTCCCTATTTTGGTGAACAACATGATTCTCTCACCAGAGAGCAAAATCAGGAACCGCCTTCTTTCTTCCCTCTAGCAATAAATCTGTGACCAATCTTCTTACATCACCACCACTCTTTTCTACAGCGTCTACTCCAAAGGCATAAATGGCTTCCTGCCCTCACCACTGCCCACCAAACTCCATATTACAGTCAGCGTACTCTTTTTAAAATACAAGTAGTGACAGACCTCCTCACCTCCATCGTCTACATTAGTGAGTTCCTGTTGCTCAAATATAAAGATCAGAATCTGAACACAGCTTATAATCAGTATTTTTAATGCTGATTTTCCTGTGACAGGAATTCATCACTAGCATAAAATAGCAAATGATTCTATATCCAGCAAAATTCAGAAGCATATATTTATTTTTCTCAAGCATAATTAATTCTCTTTACAGCTAACATTTAAATGCTCTTTTACAATCTCCCATGTGCTTTGGGTGTCCATCACCTAATCTGACACCGAGCAACTCTGTGTCGTATGCAGAGAGGAGCCAGTTCCATCTTTTTACTGACGAGTTGGGTTTAATTTACTCCAAGCTGAAGAGAGATCTCAGGACTCTTGATACTCAATCCAGTCACCTTCCTCCTACAGCTACCACCTTGATCACATGCTGTCACTTCTAGGAGGGCTCAAATGCCACATATAAAACTCCGAGGTCATTACATGGAGAAAATCTCTTATTTTAGATTCTGCTTAGTCACTTGTACTGTTTTTCTTTCTCTGGATGGTGGTACAGCAGTCTTGATTACTTTTGAATACAATTTTGTAAACGTTTTAGCTTATTCTTCAGAGCTGTTGTAGCTTTAAGTAATCCTTATTCTTTGACTTTATACCTTCTGTCACACCACCACTGGCAATTCTATCCATAAACTGCCCTTGGTCTTCCTTACTGGTTTCTTTTTTCTTATTTCACCCCTAAATGGGGACTTTACAGTTTCTCCTATAGACACATCCAGCGTTCCTTTGTGGCCTTAGGTAACTGCAATGTTCTCCTTTGATTCACCCTTCGAACATTTGTCCATCTTCACCTATCTGTGAACCTCCCACAGTACTGCACACAGTACACTCTCCTTCCTTAGAAGAAATGTCTGCATTTGGGAGGGGGAGAAGAGAATACTGGTTTTTCTGCTCACCTCAAAAATCCAAGTATAAAGTGAAATTAAGTCTTTTCTCCCAAACCAGCTTCTTCTGTATTCCCCATGCATACTGATAGCAGCAACAGACTGCCAATACCCAGTCTAAAAACTGGAAAGTCATTTTTAGGAGATGCTAATAGGTAAACAAAGATTAAGGCAAAAAAGGACATTTCAGTCAGACAGCCCCTTGTGCAAAGATCGTAAGACATGAAAAGTTCTGTGCCTTTAATGACCTGAGAGGCAAGTGGGGTTGAAGCACAGCTTTTGAGGGGACAGAATTATGTGGAAAAGGATTAAGATTTGAGGCATTTGTGGGACATCTAAGTGAAGGTGTCTAGAAGGCAGCTGAAATGGGGACCCAGGCACAGCAGAGCAACAGGGGTCCACAGTAGCTATTATCTCTGCACACCTCACACACATCCTACTCTATGCTTCCCCCTTTTCTGGTAACTGACCTGACCCCCCCATCAAGCACAGGGACAGGCACATGCCCAGCTGAGCAAGTTCCAGAACTACATCCTGGGCCACTGCAACTCTTCCAATAACTGGACAGTAATCCAGACTGAGCACTCTGGATCACCCCATGAACACTTTCTCCTCTTTGATCATAATGGTATGAACAGAGAGCCATGAGCAATCACTACTCCAACCTCAACAGAGCCAAAGAAGAGAAGCAAGCACTCAGAGAGAAGTAGTGACGAGAAGGGAAAGGCTAGAGGTATCAAGCCCTCCATCTTTCCCAGACCTGAGTAGGTTTAAAAAAGAAAAAACTCTCCTATGGAAAACCATATGGCGGTTCCCCAAAAAATTAAAAACACAATTACCATATGAGCCAACAATTCCATTTATGGGTACTACCCAAAAAGAACCGAAAGCAGGGACTCAAAGAGGTATCTGTACATACGTGTTAAGAGCAGCATCATTCGTAGAGCCAAAAGGTGGAAGCAACCCAAATGACCATCGATGAAGAGATAAACAAACTGTGGTCGGTACATACAAGGGAACATCATACAGCCTTAAAAAGGGAGGAAATTCTGACACATGCTACAATATGAACAGAACTTGAGGACATTACACTAAGTGAGATAAGACAGTCATATAAAGACAAATACTGTATGATACCACGTATGAGGTATCTTAAGTACCTCAAAGTCATGGAGACATAAAAGTAGAGTGGTGGCTGCCAGAAGCTGGTGGGAAGGAGAGGACATACAGTTGTTACTTAATGGGGACAAAGTTTCAGTTTCCTAAGAGTTCTGGAGACTGGCTGCATGACAATGTGAATGTACTTATTAGCACTGCCCAACTGTACACTTAAAAATGGTTAAGATGGCAAATTTTATGCTAAGTGCATTTTACCACAATTAAAACTTTAAGATTCCCTTATGACAATCACTTGCAACTGAAAAAAGAAAATCCTGTTCAATACAAAAAATTGATACCTAAGTATGTAGTACTAGACATTGACATTAGAACTGACCAAGTCAGGATGGGCTAGAGGTTGGTAAGAATTTCCAAAGAGTGCTGACAGCAAACCAGCTGGTTAACCTGATGTGTCTGGGGACTCAAACTATGTGCTCACATTTAGGGAATCTGACACACACACAAGAAAGTCAGGATATTAAACTACTCTGGCTACTTATTACACCTTTTTCCAATACAATGCCTCAAGAAAAACAATCTTAGGTATAAAGCAGACTGCCTGAAAGCAGAAACAGAACAATGATCATGATACACAGGGCCTTAATCCCACCTTCTAATGAGCTCCAAAAGTAGCAGTCTCTACCTGACACCAAAGCGAAGTTAGTACGTTGAAAAGGAATGGAGAGACCTACAAGGGTCCAGGACTGAAGAACCCCACTAACCTAGGGTCCTCAGAAGTATCTCTCGTCCATTATTACCCACTCCACCCCCAACCATGATAAGCCCATAATCAAATGAGCTGCAGCCTGGAGGTAAGGGGGCCAACTGGCACCTTAAGCAGAAAGGCAGAGCTCCCAGGCCTGCTGGAAAAAACAGAAAGCAGTCACCAGGGCAGAGTTCAGTTCAAACACTGCAAGTTCTATTAACAGCTAATACAGTTTCATTAATATTGTAAAAATAACTTGAATCTATCAACAGCTAAAAGACTTCTACATTGTTTTGCCAGAAAAACTCCAAGTCTGGCAAAGAGAAGCCTCAGTACCTAATACAATCCCGGGGTATCCACAACTGCTCTACAGAGAAACAGGCTGCTAGACTAGCATACCTGCAGTCAGGAGAGTCCCCTCCATGATCCCCCTTAGGGTACCATCAAAGACAAAAGGCAACGAACAAGGCAATGCATCCCAGATGCAGCAGGCACAGCCAGGGAAGGGCAGGCTGGCTGATCCGGAATCCCCAGTGCGATGGAGAAGTTAGTCCTTGTTAGTCTTCTTCAGGGAGAGGATGGACTTGCAGCCTGTGGACCCTACTTTTTCTTTCCCAAAGCCAAATTTTCCTTCAATTGTAAGTATCTCAGAAGGTTTGCCATAAACAAACATTCTTGAAGAAAAAAACATAAATTTTAAAAATGCTGTAAGAGACCAGGAAGGTAAGGGGGATCAAATTTTTTGGTAGTATTTACTACTGCCTTAAAACACACAAAAGTACACACACACACACACACACTCTCTCTCTCTCTCCCTCTCTCTCCTTGGACCAAAGATAATAAAAAGCATAGCCATAAAAACACAAAACAAAATTTCATACAAAATCAATATGATATGGAGAGACCAAAGGACATGTGAGTGTGCTAAGTATTTAAGAGGAAGACATATAAATTTGAAAGTTTAATAAGTCAACTGGGATATGAAATACTAAGTTAGGAACAACCATGATAAATTCAGTGGAATACATAGTACCAAGTAAGCAACATCCATCTACATTCCCAGATGCATCCTACTGCAAGAAAGCAAAAACTTCATAGAACATTATCCCAGCAATGCTTATTTGCTGTTTAAAACAAAAACACAAAAACCTTGCCTAAAGATTGTTTTGATGACATTTTTAAAAGCTAATTGTATGGTTTTAAATCATTTTTTACTGCCAACATGAAACTTTTAAAAATTAATCATTTTTAGCATTATGCATATGTTGTACAGCAAGTTTTGCTACTATCCGGCTAAATATTTTCAAGACCACGACCACATTTTCTTTGTTATTAAATCGAGAAACTCCTCTAATATCTTCTGACATCCACAAATCAGATATATTTCCAGGAGGAAAAGAGTCTGAATTCAGGAGGAACCTGATAGAAAACAAAAGGTGACGAACACTTACATGCTTATAAAGAAGGAAAAGGAAGTAAGGAAAGGCAGAAGAATAATGCTAGTAAACAAAGAAATGTGAACAGTTGTAAAAAGAAAATTTTAAATAAGCTTTCAAAGAGAAATAGTGCCGGAAAGGTTTATGTACCATAAATAATCACCACAAGTGAACATTTTACTCTCCACAAAGAAGGCCCAACAAGTTGTCCTTTGAACGAACCAGCTGACAGAGAATCAAAAATTCAAAAGAAACCAGTTTGCAGAAGTGATACTTACACTCTCTCATCCTGAACAGTAGCTTTTAAAGGAAACATGGTATCATATTTTAAAAGTCTTGGAGGAGAAAAAGACTGAAGAGGATGGTATCAGTCAAGGCCCAACTAGGCAACGAAAACCACTCAGTGTATTCATAATTGGGAATTTAATACAGACAACTGGTCACACATATGACAAAATAGCTAAGAAGCCAAAACAGGAAACGTGAGGCAACCTATTGGATTAGCAAATGGCAGGAAGCCATTACTACCCCTGGGCTAGGGAGACAGGGAGAAGGGCAGGGTGCTGCGGTCACCTGGCACAAACTGGAGCTGCCCAGGGGAAGTTAGGACCACAAAGGAAATGCAGCTGCGGACAGAGAGAGGAAGAGAGCATAATACTCTTCCTTTTCTCCCATCTTCCCTTTCAATTTCCCACCAGCGCCTCCCAAACTAAGCCAGAAGGCAACTGACATGGCAGCCTGGGAAACAGACAAGGAGCAGTCCCCTTGCAAGAGGCAGCAGGAAGGAACAATGAGATAAATGGAAGGTATGCGAGAGCCAGCAGGCCTTGGACTGGCGTAAATTCAGAAAAATAATTTTAAAATCTAAAAAGTTCAACACTGGTGATTGTTTTGCAGTTATACATCCTATACAAACGTCCAAACCTGAATTAATAAAACCTTTTCTAAGAAATTGTTATCTCACTTGGACTTGAAGTTTAAGGCTAGGCACGATATGCTACAGTGACTCTAAGACTTGTCCAATACAGTATTAGTTCTAATGAAGTTTCTGTAGTTGAATATGTTACTTTTTCAATTAAAAATAAACTCATTTTGAAAACTAAGAAGTCACTGTAAGAGAAAGTAATCTGACTAATGTAAGAGCTTTCTTTTTGGAATCAGGTCAACCTCAAACAACCATTTAATTCAAATGTTTAAATTTGAAAAATTAAAACCATACCATTTAAATCTGCATTTTCAAATCTGACCCAGACTATCTTCTCCTTTTCTTCTGTTAGAGGTGTTCCACTGTAAGCCTGCACAGTAAACAGAAATGTTTGAATGAAAATAGCTCAAATTTTACTGATGTTCAAAACAAAGAGTAATTTAAATAACGCCAACCCTATCCCCCTCCAACCTCACCAATCCTACATCTTGAGAACTAGCACATTTTGTAATATTTTCACTCCCAAAGAAAGTAATCCAGGAGTCTTGATAATCTTGGTCAAAAAAGGGTTTTTCACCTAATCCAAACACAATGATCACAGTTTACAGCATCACAGTAATTCAAAGACACTCAAAAGACTAAATTACCTCCTATACTGGTCAACAAACGAAGCTTAAGAAGTAAACCAAACTACCACACATATTTAGCTCCCAGGTATTTCTGATCAGGCAATTACACTCTAGCTAGAATTTTCAAGAGTATTATTCTGCTAACCACCAGTTTCAGGTGGAAGACACAAGCCAGAGTTGAGAGGTGGGGAAAAAAAAGTATTACTTTTTCAGTCTCTTATCCAGCCTCTAGACACAACCTTGCAAGCCTGCAAGGGTCACTAAGATAAGCATAAACTGCCACGAAGTCATAGGAAACATATCAACGGTACCTATCAGTATTCAAAGGGAGTCATCTCGCTACAAAGCAAATGTTTTTATTTAAAATTTTCTAGAATTTCTAGATTGTATATACTTACAAGTACTCAGAACGTCAACAAAAGAGCTGCAACACTTTCAGTTATACGGTGATAGTCAGTTCACAGAACAATTCTTTACTATAAGCTGTAGCAAAAGCTGATGAAGGATTTGCTGAAGGAACCTATGTGTTTGAGTGGCTCAGGATGGCTGGCTAAAACTACTGCAAGTAACATACTTGTCTTAAAAAACTGTTTGTTGTAGGGGGAGGGTGTAGCTCAGTGGCAGAGGGCACGTTTAGCAAGCATGAGGTCCTGGGTTCAATCCCCAGTACCTCCGCTTAAAATAAATAAATAAACCTAATCCTATCCCCATTAAAAAAGAAAGTTGAAAAAAAAAAAGCATACAAAAACCACCATTCCATAAATAACATGTGTTCTACGTGATCTGCTTTATATTTCCATGTCAGTTTACAGCCCTTTTCTTGTGCCACACAAGGTTAATGGCCATTGAAAATATTACTAAAAGACGGGGTTACTTTAATAGTAGGTTTATTATACAAAAAGAAAAGTTATCTTATACATCCTTATGATTTCAATCATCTTTAAAAAAAAAAAACTCGAGGTGTGTATAGGGCAGTTAATTCCTTTGGAGAAAAGGAAAACCTACACTAGAACCTAATTCATCAACTTTACCTCCTACCACCTCATCCTCACATTCTTCTTTGGTCCTGCTCTTTTCATCCTTGAAAACTCTCCTTTTTAAAAATAAACTTTTTATTTGGGAATAACTAGATTATTAAACACAGGACAAGGAGTTCTCATATACCCCTCAGCCAGTTTCCCCTAATGTTAACTAATCTAACCAAATCTTATGTTACCATGGTACATTTGTCAAAACTGCGAAACCAACACTGGGGCATTTCTATCAGCTAAGCCCCAGACTTTGGATTTCACCAGTCTTTCCACTGATGCCCTTTCTCCGCCCCTGGACCCCAATCCAGGACACCATGTTGCATTTAGGACCGCTATATCAGACTCTCCCTTAATCTGGTAAAGCAATAATACATTTCCGAATCTCCCATCCAGCAGATTTATTATAAAGCTGTTTATCACCTGTGTCCGTCAACATTCTCCCAATTCCTCTGCAACATTTGCAAGATGCTCTCCTTTGATTTCTGGCTGATATGCAGCAAAAGACGAGGTTACAGGGGCCTTTCAGTGTACCGGGATTCTTAAACTTCTTTTCTTCCCCCTTCAGGGGGAAACGAGACTTTCACAACGCGGCTTGCATACTTTTGCTATGTCTTCAAGTTTTCCTTTCTTCTTAGCAGACATAGTGCTCTTTACTAAGCGTTTGAGAATATTCTGTTAAGCTGATGGAAACATCTGAGTGTTGCTTCTTGTGTGCCTTCCTGCAGGCTGGCACAAAAGCACGTGACACGTCATTTTGCCGCTCAGCTTTTTATAATACTCTTCGCTCATGTTTAGATACGTAGCTGTCAGTGAAGCACAGACTTCACTGGTGCCCACTCCACTTTCATTGGCTATCTTAATGGAAATTAGTGTACTGCCACGCAAAAGTTTGTTTTTCCCCCCAGCACTGATTGTAAGCCCTCTTCTTCAACCAAGATCTGACTGCTCTAGCTCTCGTGTTCAGAGTTAAAGCTTTCACCCCATTATTGAGCACAGGATTTGTTTATCTCTCCTCTTATTCCTTATCTTGTTTCTAACACATATACACATAAGCACAAACTTACTGTCGAATTTTAAAAACCAGTAACGATCGCTGTAGATACGCTGTTTCATTTTTTCACCATAGAGAAAAAGAACCTCCATTGTGTGCTATTGTCAAAAGTATAATTTTTAATTCCAGCAAATTATTCTATAGGGACTACGTATCATAATTTGCTTGACTGCTACTGATATCTGGGCTGGCTACAGTTTTTTTACACTGAAAAATGTCAAAATTTCTCACTGAAATGAAAAATTCTAAGCTTTAACCTTTTTCTTTGATGACATTTCTTTTAAATAAATTTTCATAAGCAGAGTTGTTATATCTAAGGGCACAGCTTAGGGATTCCACAAGCCATCAATGACATCTGTTAAACACAGTGGGAATTCACTCTATTTGTGGCAGCTCAAGAAGCTGATACCAGTCTAAAACAGCACATTTTCTCCCTTTGTGGAGACCCAGAGAATAATTTCCAGGCCTCATGAATTCAATGATTTCCAGAATAAGGCAGGAGTTGGAACATACTATCAGCAAAAAAAATACCATTTTCCAAATGGCTGACTAGAAGTGCCAATGGAGGATTCTGGATTAAATGTGGGGAAAAAAGAGAACATGGGTCACCAAATGTGGCCCACCACCTGTGCTCTTAAATATTAAGTTTTATTTTAACACAGTCACACCTTTTCCTTTACGTAAAAAAAAAAAAAAAA